GTCTTCAGTTCATCTCAGACCCCTGGTGTCGACTCTGAACCACTTCAGAGTCCTCTGGAGCAGTCTTAACTTTTCGGGAGAGTAAGAGTGATTCTTAGACTTAAGAAGTTTGATAACTGGAACTTACACTTAAGTCTGAGAGTAGGAGCAAATCTAAGAAATTTTCAGCACTTAAGTCTAAAAATCCACTCTAAGAAGTTCGATAAATACGGGTCCAGAGCTTTCAGTACAGTCTGTGTTCTTAGCCATTGTAGCAATGCTGTGTTGCATGCAGGTGTTCCCCTTTGTCATCACTTCCTGTTACTGGACACGCTTAAAACTCAACAACTGTTCAGCATGGTTGGTTTTGTTTTAATGCATTATTAATGTTCTCTTTCCAAAGATGCATTTGTATTTATCTTGAAAATTTGATGTCACAGGCACCTTAATAAGCAAAAACCTGAATCCTGTTCCCAAAGATAAACAAGCTACAGAAATGATGCAGCTTTCTAGGTAATTTACCAAATTTTCCACTCTGGCTGCCTTTCTGCAGCAGGAAGATTAAAGATGTTTGAAAAGAAGCAGTCCTGTTTGGCTCTGAGCTAAGAGGTACTCACGTCGATGAGCTGTTTAACTTCTGGCTTCCGCAGATCGCTGCTGATCTTTGCTGCTAGCAGCACACATGCAGCCGCCACAAGTTTCCTGTTGTGCTTGTTGAGACGACCCTGCAGCACCAGCTTCTCAAAGTAAACAAATGCTATCGCTATGGTGACAGGCTGCAGACTGCACTCCTCGCTCACGGCCCTCATCTCCCGCTTCAGGCTAGAGGGAAGGAGAAGTCACCGTTACTCATCACCTCCCAACGAGTGTGTGCGTGAGTACTTTGGACCAGATCCAAACCCAAGGCTCAACCCTTCCAAACACCATCTATAAATCAAAAGAGATGAGTGRACCTTCTTATCTTGCTCAGTGTCAGCTTGATGTGAGGAAACTTCTCCCTGAAGGTCTCGTTCATGTCCTTCTTCAGGTCAGATGGCTTCACGTACTCAATGACAGTCGTCTGCAGAGACACAAACACAAACCAGCGGCTCAATACAGAACCAGGCCACGTCAGCAGGAGCAGACAGGGATGGTTTTTAGTTGGCTTGGAAGGTGTCAATTTTCTCTCTCTCTCTCTCTCTCTCTCTCACACACACACACACACACGGCTAGTGATTACAGCCTTGTGACGTAATAAGCAGCAATAAAAATCATGTGAAAGCAACACAACGGAGTTCTTCTCTCTGACAGGACTGGAGGCTGTTCAGAGACTGCACCACTCGAAAAACTGAATGAGAGGATGTTACAAGTCGAATGAAACAATCCTTGTCCTATCACACACACACACCCTTGTATTTGCATCAAACTGAGGACATTGCTTGACTTCCATTCATTTTTGTATGGCTAACTCAGACATTTTCCCTAAAACTAACCATTACTGGTCTGTAGTTATAACCTGAACCAGAACTTAATTCACTCCATACCTCTAAACCTAACTATTGAAGCACAGCAGAGCTGCAAACAAAGTGAGGACCTTGAAGAGGTCCTCACTTTACATCAAAGACCTCATTTTGATAGTAACTATGGCACAAATGGTCCTCGCTCTGTAGTCAAAACAAGTACACACACATGTTTGTTCTTCTATCCTCATGAGGACTTTGCATTGACTTCCATACCGGTCATATCTATAGCCTAACCTTGACTCCTTATCCTAAACCTAACCYAAACTTAGCTCACACCTTAGTCTTAACCCGAACTATAACCCACCAACAGTATTTTCTTCAATGGAGACCGGGCTTTTGTCCTCATAAGGAACAGTGTGTCCTCACGAGGCTGTGTGTACTGGGGAAATGGACAAATATYAGCCCTACTAGGTAACAAAAACATGCACACACACACAGACACAAAAAGTATGAACCAATACTCAGAATGTTGAGAGAAAACAGAAAATATAAATAAGTCTAAATTCACTTTGGTAATAACCCAGTCATTACTGCTCACCTTCAATGTTTTTACCACTGTCTGTCTGTGTCTGTTAGCAAAATATTTCATGAACCAGAAGATGGATTTTAATAAAACTCAAAAAATAGTTGTTATATGTACATTTACAACTGAATAACTTGGAATCAACCTGATGTAGGGGTCACCCTGGTGAAAAAAATACTTTTCTATTGTTTTTTAAACAAGATGGTTGCCACAGCCTGATGAGGTCCTTAGTTTTGTTGGCAGTGTACTTTGGCTCATTGTCCTGCTGCATGATAACATTACTCCAGATTAGTTTGGATGAATTTCTCCATAAATTGGCAGAAAAATGTGTTTCTGTACACTTCAGAATTTATTCTGCTGCTGCCATCATCAGGTAAATACATACATAAATATTAATGAGCCTGTTCCAGAAGCAGCCATGACATTACGTGCACCATGCTTCACAGATGAGCTTGTGTGCTTCAGATCAGCAGCAGGTTTTTTCCCCCCTTTCTCCACACTTTGGCCTTTCCATAACTTTGGTAGATTAATCTTGGTCTCATCAGTCCATAAGTTTGTCTTCCAGAGCTTTTGCAGCTAATCTCTGTATTTCTTTATAAATTTCAATCKGTCCTTCTGATTCTTCTTACTGATGAGTGGTTTTGGCCTCTATATCTCTGCTCTCTGAGTCTTCTTCTAACAGACCGTGATACCTGCACTCCTGAACTGTGGAGGTCGTTGGTGATGTCACCTACTGATGTTTTTTTTCCCACAGCTATCACAATATTTCTGTCATCAACTCTTTTCTCATGCTCTTTTGATCTTAAAGGGATCCACGATTAGTTGTAACATTAAACTTTATTTGATAAACATTTATTTTAACGGTAAAATAAAGACTGTAAAAATACTGTAGGATGTTTAGTTTTGTAAATTTTTTAAAATA